AGAAAAATAGTATGTTTCTTAGTTTAAACCTGTTGAGTCATTCTGTGCATAGTTTGCATGTTCTCACTGCGCATGTTGTCCAATTTCCTGACAGAATGCAAAAAAATTCAGTGCAATCACCGGGAAACCACTGATTTTTTTTTTCCTTGTAGCAAGCAAGTTGCTGCCTTATTGCCACCTAACTTGCCAGTGTAGTCTACCTAAAAACGCTAGTTGTAGCAACAGCTATGCTTACTTAAGTTGTTTCTTCTCATTTTTTAGCAATAACCTAAAGAAAAACCTGGTATGAATTTAAAGTTATGTAATACTTTATAGAATATTTTAATCCCATTTGGGGTTGCATGAGGAAGGGCACCCAGCAAAAATGTCTGGCAAATCCTCTTGCGGTGACCCCTTGTGGCTGGGAAGCAGCAGAAAGTAGCACACACAATGCTTCAGGATATTTAATTGGTTCAAAATTTTGGTTGAGATGAAACACGAGTAAAAGAGTTGCAGCAAGTTGAAAGAAAGCTGATTCAGCCTTTAAAGTGAAACTGATCAGTAAATACGTGCAGATAGCTGACGCTTCCCTGCGTCCCCGCAGAATTCAAGTTAAGATGCAGCCTACAGGTATATATCCGCCTCGATGGCTTTCAGCTCTGAAAACCTCCTGAAAGACAGCTTGAAAGAGGAGGCTGTCAGTTTGTGCAGGATTTGGTTTTTAAAGCCTCTGAGTTGACTGAATAAAGCATATAAATGACATGGACGCTGATTTTATTTCCAACTTGTTATTTTTACTCCTTTTTTTAAAAGAATTTCCTCCTTTGTCCCTTCTTCACTCTCTGAGCTGCGACTGAGGCTGCCTGCCGTTGCTATGCAACAATGGGAGTAACGAGAATCATTATTGAATAAGTCATTAAGTTAAGGCAATAGTTCAAGAGAAGCATTTCAGACCAGGAGACATGATCTTACTCGTAATTTATCACATCAGCAGAACAAAGTAGGTGAGACTGTGTGATGTCCAGCGAGATTTCCTGTGCAGTGCAGTCGGTGCTCTGTCACTCAGTGAGATGAGTGGTTGTGACAGCTGATGATAAGTGACTGCCAGACGCGGATGTAAAGCACAGCCACAAAGGCTTTCCTTCCTCCTGATCCCCAGTGTCCAACAGCCACGCCCAAGCTCTTGACCCCAAGTGACCTCCTCAGCAATCCAATTCCATTTCCTGCTGCCAGCTGCCCTGAATGATTACTCTGACTAACTCCATTCATGAAAAATAGGGGGACGAGGACCAGGGGCTATGAATGTACGTGCATGAATGTGCATGCACTGCATGAGAGTGTTTGTCCGTCCATCTGCTGGGAAGTCCTTAGGGGTGTACGTTTTACACACAAGCCCAGCTACTGGTGGTGTTTGTGGGATCCTTTCCAGTGTGTGTGTGAATATGTGTGATTTTTTTGTTTGCTTTTTTTATTGCAGGTTTGATTTTGTGTCTGGAGAGTCCCCTGGCAAAAAAAAAAAGAGAGCGAGAGAAATAAATAAATAAACAAACAAACACAGACACCAATTAAAGCTGTTGCAGTGTCCCAGCTCCTTTACATCAGTAGTAATGTGCCTGTGGAAGAAACAAGGCGCTTTAACCCTTCTCGTGCACACCTTCAACATGAGCAGGCTGTAATTTCTTATGAGCCTGAGTTAAAACCAGAGCGGTTATTTCACACGTCTGTATTTGTGTTTCTCTCAGCCTTTCTTGATGGCTTGAAATGAGCTGGAAAAATAAAAACACCAATACGAATTCACAAGTGCGGCTTGCATCATAGTTAACAAATATTTAGAGATTTATCTGTTGATTAAAATGATTCATTATCCAACGTAAGAGTAATTTGCTATAAATGCCGTGTAAAATAAGCTGGCTGACCCAACACCCACATCAAACCAATCAGCTCCCATCACCTCAGGTTAGACTTGTCTGCTTGAAAGTTTTGACAGTTAAAAGAAAGTTTCACTGGAAAGGTCTGGTGAAGAGTAACCCATCTTCCTTCTCCTATTCCCCCCCAAGAAAGAACGAAATAGATCAAAGTCAGTTGGGGGTTGCTGCATTAAAAAAAAATCCTCTATTATTGCCAGCCTTCCAAAACAAAGCCATGCACATTTTCCACAGAGACTGTAAATAAAGATGTGTGCATCCATCAAAAAATATTCTTTGCCTTCACCAGAACAAAGTAGGTGACACTTGCACCCAAGCCCCTGCGGCCCTTCAACATAAGGTTCACCAACTCAAGCAGCGCCAAATTGAGACATTTTAATATGGGAGTCTATTCTGATTGACTGAATTGAGCCAGCTTCAAGTGGCCGTTAGAGGAACTGCAGTTTTTGGCATTTATTTGGATGTTATTTGGCTGTAAGTTTGCCTGGACTGCTCACAACAGCTCAAACGTGAAACAAAGCTTTCATTTGGGACAGTTACATAAACACGTGAACTTATGCAAGTTCACATGGATGCATATGGAGGTCAATAAGTGGCTGCAAGAACAAAAAAAATTAACATAATGCTCTGTGGTGAACGCCTAATACAACAGACGATCAGAAATGCAGGACAGCATTATCGTCTGCACACAGTTTAAAGGGTATTTGAGTTGTAGTTAATGCAATTTTTTAATGATTCTCACTCAGCTTTCTGCTTTAGTGGTGGTGCGCTGTGTGTCACTTAAGTCATTTGGGTTGAACTAAACTTTATTAAATTCGGGTGTTACCAGTTGACATAATATAATTAAGTTGTTTCAGCAGTTATGAAGAAATGTAACTTTTATATGACTGTAAAATATGATAAAAATGGGGAGGAGGACTTGGAGAAAAGTAAGGAAAATAAAAGGTCTTCTGGATCAGTTCTGAACATATGTTGCTGTAACTTTATTCCAGCTCCCGGTTGTACTCCCATTAGTTGTTGGGGGTAAACTCTGGGTTGTGAAATAATTGTCTTTGTTTGACTGAACATATCATAACCTTATAAACGCCTCTACAATGTCATGAAATCCTTAAAAATCACTAGATTGTTATCTAGAAAACGCCAATGGCAGTCACACCCTGATCAAACCACGTCCACGCAGCTGTACGGAAGTGTTCACCAAGTGTTGAACGTTTGCATGTCATCATTGCATTACACAAATGAGTTCTTTCATGGAAGCAGTTAATTGTGAAGGTGGGTGTGGATGACCAGGAGTGGAATTTAGCTGAACGACTATAATTATGTCTTTCTCCGGAAATGCAGACATGCTGGAAATGACACAACCTTTCATGGATTTATGAATAGTTTGTGGGTTTCCATTAACAATGAATTTGACTGTTTTTGTTGCACTTGGAGTCACAAATATTACTCAGTGTATTAAAGACTTTTTAAAGGTAAGCACAAGTCTTTATTCTTGGCCTTGGAGGCAGTGGAATTAAATAAACTATGACTAATGTGGACCTTCTATTACCAGGTTTTCAAATACTTTAAAGGGAAAAAAAAATAACTCAAAGCTACTTAAAGCTGGAAAAAAACATAACTTTATTACTGGTGGGACATTTTATTGTCTCTAATTCCCATATACATAGATAATTTGATGTTAAAATTAGACATTTTCTGCATGCTCGTAGACAAATCTCAAAATAAGTACACCAACTGGGAGAATTTCTAATGAACAAGGGCTGGAAAGACTAATATCTCTGCAGACGCCAGCCCCAATAGGGCTGAGTGCTTTGCAGGTTGCGTTGATTTAGGAGTCTGACTTTCATGTTTCCACTACTGTGAATACTGACTCTCTTACTATGCAATACCACTCTCTCCCACACATTTAATGCAACAAGCTCACAGCTGTTATATGAAAGCTATGGAAAAAGGCAATCCGCGGAAAACGTGAGAAATAGTCAGCTACTGCAGATAAGAGAAGCTTGGGAAAAGTAAGAGATTCTCAACACTTCATCCCAAAATAAAAGCATCTAAGAAAAGCATTTCTCTCCCTTCTAAATTCAAGAAAGCGTCACCCAACGGGTACCCAACTACTCCTCGGGATGCTACATTAAATAAGGACAGATTAGCATCAGAAATCGACTTAATATTTCATACACAGGTCAGCGGATTGCACCTATTTAATTACATTAACGAGGTGAGAGAAAGAAGGTCATGTGGAGGATAATGTAATCCTGCCAGCCATAAGCACTTCCAATTATTGCACAGCACACATGTCTGCACACCCCAAGCAGGGGATAAAACTGTTTGTTCGCAGCTTCTTTTGTGAGAGCGGGCGATTCTTCGCTTCCTCCCCTTTCAATGCAATGTGACATTTCACTCTAATATTGCAGCTGGAATGGTTTGGTTCTTTTGATAAGCGGCTTGATTGAGATAGCTGTTGAAATGCTCTGGGGTTGTTTTATTTTTCACTGATTCACATGCCTCCCATGAGCAATTAAGTAACTCCAATTACCAGGAGAGCTTTTCCCCAGGGGTTTGTTGATTCTCTTTCTGTCTTTTTCTGTCAGCGTTTGAACATCTGCAGTCAAAACCCCCAAGTGTATCCGGCGTACACTGAGCTTCCCCGACATCGGTGCTCAACCACAAAATCTAATTACACCTCCTGTGGTATTACTATTTGCGTCTCAACAAATCTGAGCAAATACAAGCATCGCTTCACCAAGCCACATTTATGTCAAACAGAATTTCCAACATGGACTCATGCTATTGTTATTTTTCTAAGCCTGCTCTGCACAGCTTTGTTAGTTGTAATTCAGCAGGGTTCTGTTGCTGACAAGGTGGAAACTGAAAGCTACAGATCTTTACAGCACGACACCACTCCTGGTTCAGGTTTGCAGCTACAGCATACAGGCTTTTCAACACACAAGTATGTGCTGGCATTTAAAGTGTTTCCTGAAGTTGCAGCATCATTAGCAGCAGCGGATGCAGTGGTAAACAACAAGTTAGGTCAGAGATCCTCACAAGGAAAACCACCTACGGTACCTCCAATGTAAACAAAATATTTATTTCAGGAAAGAATACATCGTGGTTTTAGCCTCAGAAGTCTCGGTGTTTATATGGCACATCACCGTCTATACATACCCAAAGAATAGATTGACATTTGCTCAAGTCTATCTTAACACAACACTAGCATGCACACATAGTGGGTGCACGAAAACATGTCTTTGTTTGCTGTAACTGTTCCTAATCTGAGTGATGGTGGACTAAAACCACAATCCCTTTTCACACATGAGTAATGGAAGCTGACATCAGGCTTCAGCAGTCTAAACTGACCATAACAAAAATCAAGTTTCCCTCATTGTGTTTTCACTTCAGCGGATGGATAAAAACACAAAGAGTGATGCTTGTTTTGACTGGGGTAACATATTAGCGCTCACAGAGGCGTTCAAGAAAACTGAGGAGGCCCATTTCATTAAATCGAATGCTCACTTGTGATGTGAACACTTATTTATTTTTTGGTATTTCCTGCACAACTGAAAACACAAATGAGAAAATGATAGCCACCATTATAGCTTTCCAGCTTTCAGTGTTTTAGAAACCTGCTGTGCAGTGTTTTGGTTTTGGCACATTCAGTGCATCTGTTGCACAGCCTGGGCTTCCTGACTGTATTTCATGCTTCACCGTACCTAAAGCAACTTACTGCTATCAAATAGCCCTGTGAGTTCTTCAATAGCTCTGTTCTTTTGGGCTGTATTCATCCAAATCAAACTACTATATTTAGCCTTATTTTTATATATATATATTCCTGCATATACCCAGAAAGAGGATTGTGGATTGTGGCCCCTATCATCTGTACTGAGATTGGATGAGCTGAAGGGACAATAACAGCAACCAATAACTCCCATATGCGAGGACTGTATTACAACAGACGTGAAAAAATGCAAGCCTATCCTTTCAAAAGAAGTCTATCTATTAACCAAAATACTAGCATTAGCTGTTAGAAATGAAAAAGGCATTAAACCTGCCGATTATAGGACAGCTCTGACAGGATTTTCTAAGCACTTTCTGAGTCTTTTCCGCTTGTCCTGTCCATAATTTCAGCTGAGCACTTCTAAATCCTCGTCAGCCACTGACAAATGCGAGCAGGATTCCCGAGTGGGGCTGGAGCCAGCTCTCAAACTGATGGATCCGTACAACTTTGCTGCGTGTTTGGAATAGGCGAAGGCTTTCCTCCTCATCATCTCCCCTTTCCACATGGAGATCATGAGCAGCGTGGACAGCAGCACGCCCCCGAGGGTGAGCAGACACAGTCCCGCTATGACACACCGGTCCAGATGGGCTCCCACTCTGGCTTTCTCCCTCTCTAGACGCTCCATCTCCCGGGCGGTCACAGTGTCCGGGTCCACCCGGACGTCCCTGGGGACCGTGTAAGCTATGGCGACCAGAGAGATGCCAGTTACCAGACAAGTCACGGCGATGATGAAGCCGTAATCCACAGACTTCCCCGAGTCCTCAGAGGAGAGGTCGTCGTCGGACAGCAAGTAAAGTTCCGGGAAGTCCTCCTCCGCTTCCTCCATTACCTCCTCCTCCTCGTACAGTTCACTCGAGGATCTGCAGGTTTCTGGACTCGCACCTATCAGCTGGACATCATCAGCATCTTCATCATGTTGGTGTTTGCAAGTAAAAGATGTTTCCGTTTCCTCCTCCGGACGCGGAGCTCCCCTGATCTCTGTCCATGGTGCTGAACACTCTCCTCCGCCGGGATGAAGTGACTTTTCACCGCTGTCGCCGATACTTTCTTCATCTAAAACCAGGGAGACGTCTCTGGGATCCGGCTGATCAAAGTAAAACAGTTCCAGATCAGCCATTTGGGCATGGGCTGGGTTTCCCGTTTTATCGAGCCCATGCGTCCGTCTGTGGAAGTGAAACACACACGCACACGCAAAAGAAAACAGTAAGATGTTTAAACTCGCTGAACTTTCATTATTTACAAGGAAAATCTATAGGCTGCGCTTCTCTCACCCGTGGGCATGCACGCATTTTAAAGTGTAGCGAAGGAAGTCTAAAGAATAATTCAGCGTCAGACAGTAAAATTACAGGCAATAAAATAGCTACACTGCTTACCAACACTGAAGCTTTTGCTTTTTTCTGGCTTTCAAATCGCTTTTCCAAAACACTTAGTAACCATGCGACGCCTAATAAATCTAATTCCAGGTAATGTGTTCCAATTATACGCTATTAAGCACCAACATGCGGTCTGCTGAGTACCTCTCTCTCCGTCTGTGGCCGCTCGCTTCCCCCGACTGATTCTGCTCCCTGGTCAATTAGAGGGAAAGGTTTGGCAGACCCCTCCCACAGCCAGACTGGGCTCCGGCAGACCGCCTTATAATGCTTATTACCGAGCCAACTTCAGTGTTCCCCGACACATACAGACCACTAATCAGATGAGAGGCAGGAGGCGGCTGAATGTGCGCTGTGGGCAAGTAAAGAGCTGAAACACTTCAAATTAAGGTACGCTTTCTCCAGGCGCTTGTCAAAGTTGCTAAAATTTTTCATCCACGAATGTCAGAAGCAGATTTTAATGCAATCCGGTCAACAGCTGAGAGACATTTTAATCCAAAACACACAGGAGGAAAAGAGAGAGAATCACCAGCCGGAGATCACGAATGTTTACGCTTCATTACAATTCATCCAGCAGTTGAGATGTGACCAACAACTCCGTGATACTTGGCCTTTACTGCGACCCACGGGGTCTGCAGTAAATGCAATACGTCGATAGTGGTTGAGATGCCCTGCAACCCTTTATTGGAGGTCAGAGGTCAAAAAGCCTTGTTCTGCTGGAAGGTTTCTACAGTCATATAAAAAAACACTAAAAATGAATAACGAAGATTGTTACATGCCGTAAGCTGTTTATCAAGGCTGCCTTGTTTGTGTGGATCTTTTATTTTTTGCAAAGCAGAAATCTTGGGTGAGTGATAGATGCTATATTGACTGCTGAAGAGAAAGTGGTTTTCCAGGTTTGGCCCCTTTTTAGGTAGTTGGAGTTCGTGTGGAGGGCAGAGATCCTGCAGCTGATGGAACAAGCCCTCTAAACAAAACTAGTCTTGGACAATCAGGGCTGAGGTTGAGCTTTCAGAAATAATAAAGTCATGGGTCCAAGTTCCTCCTCTTTTATATATAAAACTCAGTTTATTTCAGATTTTTTTTTAAATCCTATTTAATAATCTAAGGGTAGCTGCAGCTTCAAAGCCCTGCCAAGGAGTCTGGAGTAAACTCTTGAATTTTTTTCTTCTGAGTTTTCTTTCTTTTGAAGGTTAAAAAAAAAGCTAATCACAAACCTTGGAAACAGGCAGAGCCTGGCTGTGTCACAAAAATTCACAAATCAGGACCTCTAAAACTTTTAAACGAATAAAGTCTTAATTTATTCAAACAAAATGGACAGAAAGCTGGAGATGGAAACTCAGCTGTGAAGGTGAGAGCCAAAAGCTGCAGTACCTCTAATGACCACTTGAGGCTGGCTCAAAAAAAACGAGTCAGTGACGACTGACGTTAAAATGTCCAACTGCACATCTTCAACAGCAGCTACAGTCTTGTCCTCCATAAAAGTCTCGAACGTGTCTGATTTATTGCTCCAGCATCCAACATATATAACATCATAATCTGTATTAGGAGTTCCCACAATATATAACTGTGACAAAGGCACATATAAAAATATCAATGAGTGATTAAAAAAAAAAGATTCAGATAGTTACCAATAATTTGAATGACTGTTCCTTTTTTTTGAGAAGACACGAGATGACTTTGATTTTCAGTGTAAACTGTGACAAATGTCTTATAGTCAATGCTGGGTGATGACCTCCAAACTGGCAGCTTTTCAGGAGCTAATAAGCTTCCCTATCACATCATGTGTTTAAAAGTTAGCATGCCATTCCCAATATATTTAAATGACAGCTGGATTAAGGATACTCCCTTAGGGAAACTTGTCCAAATAAACAGAACAGTCTTTTCTGCACTGAAGCATATATAGGTTATACTGAAGGCATCCAGAGGTCCTGATTAGAAAATGCTCCATTGCTCTGCTATTGAAGTTCATTTGCTAGGATCCACCATGTTGATGCTTCTGGATACTCATTGTATGCTGTATCACTATACATACAGAAGTTACAGTCTTTTACAGGGAGAGGGAGCAAAAGTAACACCCAAGGGTGGGTTTAACATTCATATTTAAAAGAGGAACTGTGTTTAAAGCAAAAATATTTCACAGTTTTGCAACAGAGAATACAGAGTAGACGTGTAGTCTGCAGGCATGCTGGAAATGTTCAACCTCTGCACTACAACCTCCTGTGGAACTGTAGCCCCTTTAATCATTTAATCCCTTTGTGATATGTGCTTTAAACCAAATTAGCTCTTCATTGCAGAGAATTAAACTGACTCCCGTGGTTGCAATAAAAGGATATTTGGCTACCTCAAAGCCTCACTCAAAACAACATTAATAAACTAATAGGAGATTATGAAAAGTCATCTCACAAGGGACAAAAACAGAAGAAAATGATTAGGAATGAAGTGCAACATTTGTATTTACACATATATCGAATGTAGTCTGTGCCAAAATGATAAATTACACTCAAGAGAACTAAAAACTAAATATGTAAGTGATCAAATAAAAAGAGAAAAGAGGAATAATAATCAATAAGAGAATAGTAATGGAGTGACTTAGATCAGTGGGTGTGACCAAAGTGAGACACTTATGCACTTGTTAGTTTCTCTAAAAGCAAATGCTGCACCCTACAGTAAAATGTGAAACAGCAGCTGTGGTGTAAGACTCAACAACTCGTGGCTTCAGCACAGAAAACCTCAAACTGCTTTTGTTTACATCTGTCCACATGTAACATTTTTAAGACAGCCATCCTGCTGCTGAGCCCAGCTCGGGGGACGCTCTCTGTTCTCTACTCGCTTTGGCTTTTCCCAGTCAGTTTTCAATGTGTGAAGCTGCTTGGAAAAATGTCTCCAGCCATTTACACCACTGAAATAGGGAGACAATCATTAGCCAGGCACAACAGATGTGCAGGTTAGCACTGTTGCCTCACAGCAAGAGGGTCCTGTGTTTGAATCCACCATCTAGAGTGTGGAGTTTACATGTTCTCCCCATGTTTGTGTCTCTCTGGCTTCTCCGGCTTCCTCCCAAAGTCCAAATTCATGCAGTTAGTGGGGTTCGGTTACTTGGTGACTCTAAATTGCCTGTAGGTTTGAACGTGAGTGCCAGTGGTTGTCGATCTCTATGTGTTATCCATGGGTGTAATCTTCAGGATGTCAGTTACAGTGCTTAACGTATTATTTATTAGACCAGGTGTCACACAAACAAGAAAACACAAATATTTAAAAATCTTCCAAGACCTTGTTTAAAACTAAAAATTATGTCTTTATTTTACAAGCAAATTACAAACTGATGTCACATTTTTATATCCAAATTTTGGGGAAAAGTAATCAAGTATAACATTTAACTAAAAAACCTTTATTTTCTGTTTGGAGATATAAGTAAATAACTGTAATTTGGCATCTTTATCAAGAAATAATTATGTCATTTATTATTTTTCTTGTTTTTTTGAAAACTAATTGAAATTAATGGATGACAACACTATTTCAGCATTAAAAACATAATTTGGAATAAAGCGCTTGCATGTGCTGGTGAATTAACCACTGTAGAAACATAAAAATGATTTTGACAATTACCAATGCTATTGATTTGGGGCAGCATAAACCTGAGCTCATAAATTCATTAAGCACTGCACTTTTGAGCCGTGGTAGAAAATATCTGAACATATTCATTTATAAATTTAAGCACGTAAGTAAGGTTTGGGATACTTATTATTTTATACTTACACGGTACAGTTCGATGTCTTACTCTCCCGTGTTTAGTATTAAAGTTTTATTTAAACAGTGTGAGTATATTATTATGAATATTATGAATATTATGTTTTATAGTGAATCTCAAGCATTTTGCATTATTTGATGAGAGTATTGTGAGAGTATTCTTCATTTTCATTCACCATGTATTTGATATATATTTTTAATTTGTCAATTTACATCTACAGCATTCATTTAATCTTCTTTAACTGAATTATTTAATTAATTATTGCTAAATTATTTTCTGAATCATTTTTATTTAGTAATTAAACAGAGTTTTATTTATTTATTTACTTGTTTATTGATCTATTTATTGTTACTTGCCCACAGTAAGGAAATATTTTCATTTTAAACTTTTGAGGCATTTAGACAACACTCTGACACTCAGTAAGAAAGATCACTTTAGTATTTCAGCAACAAGCAATGACTTTATGAAATCACCTATCGCAGGTTCACACAGCTTGTGACCCTTCAGATTGATCTTGTTGCACTTTCAGGGTCAGAATTTACAGTTCTTTATCTCCGGCTCCACTTACCCAAGGACAGATGGTTTCAGCACAATGATGGAAAGTGTACGACCATCTTCATGCACTCTTGTCTCTTCCTCTGGCAATTAAGTAGAGGTGGCCGAGCTGATGTGGGCGATAACCAAGGTTAGATATGTTACTTTAGGCAATATTTGATTGATGCAAAGTTTCTCTCTTTCTTTGCTTTACTGTACACGCTGCCCACAGTCTGTTAGTTTTGTGTTTGTGCACTTTTGTCCTACAGCTCTGTTTTCTACAGTATGTGGAGCAAAGTACACAACTTGGAAAAAACTGTGTTTTAGAACTTTCAGCAGTAAACATCAATATTTTAGCAGTTTTCTGCATACTGGAAAGCGTGATGTACAACACTAAACCCTCTGAAGACATTACTGTAAACGCATAAATACGATATATAGATGCATATCGATTGTGGCTGAAGAGTTGGGAGTTTGCCTTGTAATCGTAAGGTTGCCGGTTCGAGCCCCGGCTTGGACAGTCTCTGTCGTTGTGTCCTTGGGCATGACACTTCACCCATTGCCCGCCAGTGTCCGGCAGCCTCGCCTCTGTCAGTGCGCTCCAGGGTGGCTGTGGCTACAATGTAGCTTGCCATCACCAGTGTGTGAATGTGTGTTTGAATGGGTGGATGACTGAATGTATAAAGCACTTAGGGACTAGTAAAGTGCTATACAAATACACACCATTTACCATATATATATATATACACTTTAACAGTACTGGGTAGGAGCCTCTTTTGCTCTCAGAACTGCCTTACTTGGTGGCATAGATCGAACAAGGTGCTGGAAACATTCCTCAGGTCAATGTTGACATGAAAGCATCACACACTTGCTGCAGATTTG